CGGAAGAGTAGATATCGAATTGATAGCGCTTGCCGCACAGGATGTTCAATGGTCCATTTCCGTTCATGGCCTAGATCTTTTGCAGATACATCTAAACTGGGATCGTTCGCATGTTCATTCGGAGAATCTGAGATTTTGTGAGGACTCTCAGATGTCGAGTCTTGTAGAGTCTCTACGAGAACTCCAGGGGTCTTCAACATTGGAGTATTTGACATATCGAATGACTGTAGTGAAGATTTGGAAGCCGAGGCTTTATCAATAGAGCGAGGAGAGTCTAATCGACCAAATATACTTAGTACAGCGCTATCAGAGAAGAAGGCTAGTGATTCGTCGTCGGACGACTGTAATCGTTGCTTAGTCGTAGTGTGAGGGGTAGATTTGTTTATAGAGTCGACGACAACGGCGGAAGGAGCGGCTAGGACACGCGGGGATGCATTTTTTGACACGACAGAGGCGTCTTCCAAGCTTTGTTGCATGATCACGGCGGAGAGAGGTCCGTGTCTGATACTGTTGATTTTGGTGGCACGTTTGGCAATTCGTTGTCCACACGGGATGAATCAACAATGTGTTTCGTTGGCTGCCAATCTGTCGCTCGTGAGTACATCACACCGGGAGCAAACTCATTAGAACGGTCCCCTGCGCCAACAGAAGTCCGATGATCCTGCGGTTCTGAATAGCTCATCCGTCGCGCGGTTACTGATGGCCTTCTCTCCCTTTGTGTAGTAGCAGGTTGTATGATAGCCGCCCCTGACCGACATTTAGGCCCTGAAGTCGGCCGGGGGTCTGCGTGGTAACTGCCAGAAGACATTCGAGGAGGTGGGGGTCGTTTAATCGAAAGCGAACCATCACGAGCAGACCCTGAAGGCACGATCCGTGGACGATTGGTTTCAACTGGTAGGCATGTACATGGATTTTCTATATTCCACAAGAGTCGCCGCGCTATGAGCAAAGTCATGGTCACATTTTGTTTATCGCGGTACTGTAGACCGTAACATGGAGTGCACGACGTGCGAAAACTTCGCGTACGTGCTGGAGCGACATTTACGTACACTTATTAATGATCACAATACGCGAGGCAGAAGTTGTACGACGAAGGCTAAGCAGTCAAAATACTAGTATAGTGATAGCTGCTTCGCATGGCATTCAGCCCCATCTCATGACTACACCATAGGCACTAACTCCTCACTCAACATCCGTAAACGATCCTGAAACCCTGAACCGGGAACGCGGGAGGCGCAACGTTCGAGAACTCCCAGTAGTTCGGCGCAGATGGGCTGTCGTACATCATTGCCATCATAAATGACATTGTCTCGTTACAAGCCGTCTCGTCGACAGCTGCCACGCCACCGACACTCCTTGTCCTCTCAAGCGCCTGGCTTTCGCCGTTGACCGTACCGAACAGCAAGGCGTTCTTCTCCGCCTCATAGGTATTCCATGTAGCGATCGCACCGGCTTCGCGCTCAACTTGGTATACGTGGAAGCTTGGGTTCGGGCCAGAGATCTTCTGGAGCTCGAGGCGGGGGAGGACGAATTCGAGACGACAGGTGTAATTCGATGTGCTATTCGGTAGACCTTGAAACTGTACTCGCGTGGCAATCTCTCCAGCATCTTTCACTTGGCGACGTAGCATGAAGAACTGCTTGGCTTGGTGTAGGTGGTCGACGTCGTAATCGGGGTAGCGCGCGTTGATGACGGTGAGATCGGTTGGGTAAACTTCGTGGCATACGTATTCTCCCGAACCGAGGGGAGGAGGGTTGACGGCGTTGGGATCGCCTTCGCAAAAGCGGGCGGTGGAGTTACAAATTGTGTTGTTGGCGAGCAATGTCGAGTTTGGCTGTGGGTATGGTACGCCAGAAGCGTGTTGCGAGAAGAGTGTAGCGAAGCATAGGGGAGCGGCGCGGAACATCATCTTTGGATGGGAGCGTGCCGTGAATCGTCTGGAGGGGGCTGTCTTGGTAGCTGAAGCGTAGGCTTGTTGAAGTACTAACAGGAGTGTCAGAGTATGACTAGGATGTTAGGTATGCATGCGACCAGTAGGAAGAAATAGGTGATGAATTAAGTGTCTTGAGTGTTGAGGGTGAGTATTCTATATATGCCAGATACGTTGTACTGTCCACTTATCGAGCTTTCCTCCACGCATGTCTGGCATGAGCAGCCCTCCATGTGGAAAGCGAGATACGCTGCGTGGGTTGAGGGAAGAAACTGGTAAGCGCGAGGAAACCTTGGTAACTCGCTGCTACTCCGCCAAGATGCGTCTCGAAGCACGCTTGCCGTACTTAACGCCCAACTCTCGACAATTGCCAATCCGAGAAACAGCTTTGGAGTGTTGGTAAAGGTCGTCCCATCGCGTTCAAGCCGCGTGCTGGTGACGGTTATGAGGCATCATAAGCGACACTATCTCGGCCTTTGGCTGGCGATCATAAAATCTCGGAGAGATGGGACTTCTTCCGCCAACGCGACATGGTTGGTGTTGTGTGTGTGCGAGCGGATGGACAAGTTGGGTTGCGATTGCCGATCGTGAGAGATGGAGCCTGGAGATGACGGATGCAGGCTTAGTCAGCCGGCACTAGTTCGCGACGCGATACTGACGCGACCAGCGCGCAACTTCTATTACCCGCTCACATGAACACCATACCCACAACAGTCTATCGCGCCTGCATCCACCACTTTCCGAAAGGGCTATGGTAATGGCTCGAGTCATCGCCATCAGTCAGCCAGGAACAATTTCGAGGCTGTTCATCCCCCGGTAAGAAGGCGTGACAGAGTGGCGGCTACTTTCGTCCGACGACAATTCTCTTCTGATCGGGTCGAACGGGAGCTCGGAAACGATGGAGCTTCTGGGTGGCGCCATGGGCCGAATTGGGCCCTGTGGCATGCCCAGCACCCTCACGCCCGAATAGACGACATGGCCACGTCCATCCACCGCGATGATCTCCAGGGCATCCTGCTGCTCTTCTATCATGATTGAGATCGTTGAAGATCCGGTATTGTTGCTCTGCAGTTCGACTTCCCACGTTGTTGTATGTGCAGCAGAACATGTCAAGCCACCCCCAAGTGCACCCTGAAGTGTCAGAAGCTTCATCTTGTCTCTATTCCTCTCCCTTTCTACAACCACTAGGAACCTGCCGTTGAAGCTCGCAACTCCAGCGACAACGCTCGTACTCACTACCCTATCAGAAATGGGCCTTATTGGTTGACGGAGAACGTGTGGATCGAAGCCAAGAGTGTCGATTGCCACGAGGAAGGTCGCTGGGAGGTGTGAACGTGGTTGGTGGTCGACGGTGCAGAGGATGTAAGGTCGACCGTTTGGAGAGATGGTAAAAGCCGCGTTCGTTATCTCATCACGATACGCCTGCCTGGAGTCAGCTTTGCGCCGGGTCTTAGAACATGTCACTTACTAGTTCATTGCTTCTCGCATTACAGTCAACATGCCAGCAAGGATCCGGGCGTATATTCTGCTTGTAGCCTACGTTCCGAGCGACATTCCAGCAATACAAGCGATTCCCTGTTGTCAAAGCGAACACCATTGGCCCATACATGGCATCGCTTCGACCCGGCGAAAACCCAACAATCTTGACAGCACCATTGTTTTGAGGACACTTCAGGACTACATGGTCGCCCTGAACGTTCCAGGCTGGCATGTACCTGTATGTGGAGATCTTCACTGCACTCACTCCTTCTCCGCCCACTGCGATGCTCGCCGTTGCCCCTCCCTCGGCAGACTGGCGCCCAAGTTGTGAGATCGACACGGATCTTGGGGTCCAGTTTCCGTCCTGGTCAATCCGCTCTTCTCTCACGAGGCTAGGCACATGGTCGTTGTTTGTGCGGTACTCGTCATACACCAGCAATCGATTGTGAGTGATCACTGCGAGCAGATCCTCCGAGAGAGCAATTCCACGGATCTCCTCATCTTTCAGAATCATCGAAATATTCAAGACGACTTTGGGCTGGATAATTCGACTTCTGTTCGCGCTCTTCACGTCGTATAGTCGTATCTGCTTCGATGAGCATGTTGCCACCCATCCTAACGATGAGATCGACGTCGCGACATCGGGTGCATTCAAAAACGACAGCCGCCTTGGTCGTTGTAGCAGATTACTCGACTGCGATCCTGATGAGGCTGAATACACCTGGAAGTAGTCCATCGCCAACGACGAGCGACGCGCCGAAGGGCCCGTAGAGTTGCTGGATATGGACATCGTCAATGCACTCTAACTGCAATCATCACTGGGAAACCGTTAGCTGGGAGTTAACCAAAGCTTCATCCCTGGAGAGCCTCAAATGTATGTAGGTCAAGGACGTAACACTATCTGACATACTTTCAGCTCGCGATCTTGTCCGCATGCGGCGTACCCGTTATCAGCTGCATTGGCAATATCCTGCTTGTATTGCATAGAAAGTCCACACAGAACGCACGCCCAGAGGAAAGCAATATCCACCATGAGGGAGGCTGTCTCCACAGTGTAGTTCGGCCCTATCAATTACCACAGCCGTTGCCTAGCTGCAACACGTAGCCAAAAATGTACACCGGAATGATACTAAGGCGCGGCTGAGAGGACGTCCTGCACCATCCACCAATGTTCATCGTCCGTGGCGCACTTAGTGCGGCCTAGCAGCCTTGTGCATACGAGCATGTGCAACCTTGGTTATCTTTTCCCGATATCCCGCCTTTCTGACCAATCACAGCAATACCAAGTCGCGTGCCCATGTGCCATTCTCATCACGAAGCCTATCTCTCCAGTCACTCTGGTGTTGGTGGGCAACACGTAAGGCAGACAGAGAGGCCGACCGGTATGGTCTAAGCCCCGCCACAGTTGATTTGGAGAGTGAAGCTGAAGACGTGCCGAATGGAGGCCAAATAGTCACGAGGATTTGCATTCGTCGCGCAAGCATCTTTTTCTAGTTCAAGGTCGCAGTCAACATTCATAGTCAGTTCGCAAACATCCTCAGCCTGACGAGGTTGTACTTCGGTACGGATTCGCCTGGGAATCACACGCAAAATGGCTGAAGAAAAGCGTCCCCTTGACAGATCGCCATACTATGTGACCCATTCAGAACATCTTGACCGTGTTCTCAGTAGGCCTCAGCTGGCAGGTAAGCGCCAAAGGAGTGAATCAACAAGTACGCTGGTTGCTGACTCCCCAGGCATTGGCATATCCGGTTGCATAGGTGGAGGCATCTTCATTACATCTGGTGCACTCATCGCTACTACTGGATCTTTAGGGGCTGCTATTAGCTATGTCGTCGCAGGTGGTATCGTCGCTTGCGTCATGTACACTATCACTGAGATGGTTGCATGTCGACCGTTGACCGGAGCTCTCATTGATCTGCCTCACACGTTCTTAGACCCAGCCTGCGGTTTCGCTATCGCATCTATGTACGGGTGAGTATCGATAGGAAACTTCTGAAAGGCGTCGCTGACGACCATTAGGCTAGGCAAGATTTGTGCGATGGCTACTCTTACAGCGAGTTCGGCGGAGCTGACTGCGCTTCTGAAGAGCGACCCAAAACCGCATTCTGCTGGTGCTGAGGCAGCTATCAATATCGCCTTCATCGCCCTGACTACCCTTTCCCATTGCCTCGGCGTCAAGGTAAGCTATGTCATTGGACAATGGCATACTTCGCTAATGTTATATCAGCTGTATGGCAAGATCGAACGAGTACGTCACCTTGAGTAAAACAGCACTAGGGGTGGCTCCAATCCGTGTCGCATTCTACAACATTATCACTAAGCTAGAAGTATACATTAGCTTAGAGGGTGTTTACTTGCTGAGAGCTAGCAATGTGTATGCGGCAACATGCGACACGGATTCCGGCCACCCTGATGACGGCTCTCGATGCGAACAGCGAACTAACGAGCACGTAGGTCGTCATGTGGTTCAAACTGAGCTTACTAGTCCTTGTATGTGTTATGGGTGTGGTCTTGAACTTCTCCGGTATGCTTCCGCGCTTCAATGCAACATAGCCATGTGTCTAACGCTACCAAGGCGGCGGCCCGAGACAGGGAGAATACCATTCAAGTAAGTTGAACATCTTCAGGCTACGTGTGACAACGCTGACCACTCTAGATTATACAACCTTCGGATTTCCATCGGACTGGAAGCCTATTGGCCACGATAATACCACTCCTGTCCCTCTCAAGATGACGGGCGTTCCCGACGAAGCTTTTGGCATATCTGGCCCCGGAGGCACACTGTTCGCTCTCATGTGGGTTCCTAGCATACCTCCAGATACCCCAGATAGCTAACATCTTGTGAAGCACTTCAATAGTTTTAGCCATGTTTTCTTGCTTCGGAGCAGACCTGGTCGCTATGACTGTCGGTGAAGCAAAGAATCCTTGGAGGGACGTGCCCATCACCATGTCGTTCGTCTACATCGTTCCGCTCAGCATATACCCATTTGCGATGCTAGCCGCTGGAGCAAATGTCAACTACGCCGACCCGCAGCTTCCGAAGATATGGGCGAGGGGCGACTACGCTACGAAGTCAGCGTTCGTAATCGCGGCCGAAGAGTCTTCTATCCACGCGCTACCGAAGGTTTTGAACGGGTTGTTCATTATATCGGCATACACTACAGCCAATACCGATCTCTACGCCGCATCTCGTAGTGTGTTTATGCTTTCACAGCAGTACCTCCCAAGGAATATCGCAAAGATCTTTGGTCGGACTAACAATGGGCATACACCTTTGGCGGCCATTTTGCTGTGCTCAGCACTCGGGTTCTTGTCTCTGATAGGCTTGGCAGACAAGACTGGCTCACAGCCGCGTATTACACTCTCCGAACTGTACACAGGCACTGCGGCATGCATCTATCTCACTCTTTGCATCACCTTTCTGCGCTTCAAAGCTGGCCTTGACCGCTTAGCGAGGCGGCAGATCTTCGGTCGCAATCACCCACTCTACATGTCACGCCTGTTCAAGTCCCGATGGCAACCACTACCTGCATATATCGGGATCTTCGGAAGCGCCTTTGTCCTTGTATGGTCTGGTGTTCCCCCACTGGTCATTCTTGTTGCGAAAGGCAGCCTCACTTCCACGGACAACCTGAAATCTACCATCAGCTTGGCTTTCGACGTTCTTGGTGCATATATCGGCCCCTTCTTGTTCGGATCTTTGTACCTCTCGTACAAGTACATATTTCCTCGAACATCCAAAGTTGACCTCCGCAACCTTACGGTGGAAGACTACGTCCTGGAAGACCTATCCAGCATCGAGCTCGAAGGCCCAGTCTCAGTACCGCCAGTTCCGCGACATCGGTTCGGTTCGTACGAGATGGACGCCCAGCACGATGGCATTGTGAGTCCTCTGAGCACCTTTGAAGACCCGTTCAAGCAGGAACAGGTGCATCTTAGTGTGAGTATGGACCCCATGATGCAGGAGGAGATGGAAGCGGAGGCTTCGAGGAATAACGAAAGAGCGCGGATAGAGCAGATTTTGGAGAGAAGACCAGCGCGGTTGGCACGTGGAGTGTGGCGCGAAATCTGGAGCTTTGTAATTACGGATAAGGATTAAGCGCGAGTAGACAGGCCTAGTTAGTGCGTATATTGACTCTCTTATAAACCTCTGAGAACTCTTATCTACAAAGTGAGCCTAGCTTGGACGAAGTCAGCAGTTGTCGCGACATATATCACAGCGCAGTTCGGTCCTATTCCACAACGGCAGTCGCATCTCGACTTCGGAATGTGGAGTACCCAAGCGCGGAGATGGTGTTGTGATGGAGCGCGGCCGCCGGGAGAACTCGGGTCGGATCACGTGTCGGGCGTCGGACATTTTCGAGCGACGAGATGCACCGAGCAGCGAACAAGGCTAGCATCGGCTGGAAAGCGAGGAACGAGAATGTTGTGTGTTGAACATAGTAAATTGGTATTGTTGATGTTGGTATAGTACGAAATCGTAGCCCACTGTTGGGGTCTGTTACGGATTGCTAAAACGCTAAATGCTCTGACAAATATAAAATGCATGTTCCTCCGTCACTTCTCGAGGTACACGAGCCAGACACCCTGAGTTGATGTCGATGTCTGCTCGTGGCCTGGCGGTGTAACTCTCGCGGCGTTCAGCGCGCGGCTTCATCCTTCTCTTCCTCGTAGTGTGTATGCGCTCCAAGGCGCGAAGCTGGGGTTCTGCTCTTCGTGTTCTCCACCCTCCATTGCTTCATTCACTGCACCTCGTACAGCTCCATGGCCCTCTGGAGGTCCTCAAGGCTGGCCTTGTCGCCATAAGCCTCTTCCAAGATCCTGTTCCTGTCCTTCTGGGTGGTCATCTTGGCCTCGAGTCCAGCGATTGCCCTTTCCATGTCCTCCAAGCTTGAGCGCTCGCCGTAGGAGTCCATGAGCATCTGGTTCTTTTGTTCCTGAGTAAGCTCAAGCGCAGAGTGTACTTTGCGGTTGGCCTCGTTAAGTGCATTGGTAACGCCAAAGCCTATGTTGGCATTAGCATCACCGAGCGTGAGGGGTCGGCGAGGCTGTGATGCGGTCTTGGGAAGGTAGATCATACCAATGGCTACCGCCGCCATGGTCGGGAGATACCTGGTCTTGGTTAGTGTTGATACTCATATCGAGTAGGAAGAGACGTACCATCGTGCTACCCTTCCGAGCCTTGGGACGACACTCGCACCAGGGGTGGATGTCATCTGTGCTGCGGCGGCATCTTCCATGGAGATGGCACTGCGAGCACGTGTTGAAGTGGTGAAGAGCCTCTGGCGTACCAGGGTAGATGTGCGGAGGAGGAAAGACATGTTGATGGTTGTGTGGTAGTGGCGAAAGTAGTGCCGAGTATGGTGATGGTTCCTCGAGATGGTAGTTTTGGCTCGACTTATATCTTGTCGCTTGATGTGCCCAGGTGTGGTTGTGTTTGACGTTGGTAGGTGTGATGGCCAAGACGTGTGAAAGTATCGGCCGCGGTTTGACTTCGGTAGTGTGGTGTTTGATTGATGGCTTGCTACGTGTAATGTGTTCCGGTGAGACGTCCCAAGCGCGGCGTATGCGGACTGTATATACGACAGCCTTGTGCGGGGAAATGCAGGTCACAAGTAGGCTGTGCACTCATGTCTCTCCACCACACCCGTACATCATACGACGAATCACAGCACTTGACATCACCGGGCTCCGTGACGCAAATGGACTGATGAGCTTAGTCCGACGCATTCTCGCGTCGCGTCCCCAGACCGAAAGGCCGCTGACGTACCAGGTCGTTGGGTCCTCCCCTTCAGAGGGTTTCCCGGCCGCGCATGTATCGCGGCTTCTCCTGGCGTGCCGCCTGGAAAGGGTTCGGCTGGTGAAACGGCTGCCACCGAGATCCAATCGGACGCTGAGACGTCGGAACTGGGCCATGTGGGGTTAGTGGTGTGCTGATCGTGGTTAGATGGCAGTCTTTCGATTGTGGGGTGAGCACGCGCATCGTGTGGCTGGCCGAGGTTCCCGCGACGCTGATGTCAGCGTGCAGCTCTGCAACCTGTTCGTCCTGTGGAGTGACCACAGCGTCAACACCACCAGCTTCATCAGCATCTGCATCGTCATTAATGCCCACAACGTTTTATTGAAAGAAAATTATCGCGATCTAGACCATGACCGCATCGCAGCCGACCATGACTCTCCAACGTCTCGACTGTCAACAATGAGCACACGCCCCACTCCGGATCTAAGAATTTTAGGCTGGTAATTTGACTTCGCGATGCAAGCACTGTGCGCATGCTTGTGTTGGCATCGCAATACACGAAGCTAATTCACTTACAAAGGGATGCCATGCCGCAGGATTTGCATTGGCCAAAGAGTAGACCCTTAGCTTCCCGAACTCACATGTAAGATGCCAAGCAAACACTTATCAAATGGCCGCCATCTGCACTGGATCCGTCACAACTCCAACAACGACCAAGCCCAGCCCACGTGCGGATGGCAAAAACAATACTGCAACCGAGGATTGAACTCGGGACCCTTCGCGTCGCACATTCAATGTGAGGCGAATGTCATAACCACTAGACCATTGCAGCAGCTGCTTCTGTTTGGCTATTTTGGAACACAGAAAGCCTAAGTACTGCAGCAACAACAGGTTCAAAGTGCTAAAGCTCAATATGGACAGCTCGCAGTCTTGAAGCATATGAGCTGGGAACGTGACGGGCAGTGGCATATGTCCAAACGATTTGGCGATTTGGCTTGGAGGCTGATCGGTTCTGGTCACACTGCCCACGAAGAGCATTCAAGACTGACATCTGACCGGATGTAGCAAGCCCACAACTCGTATATCACTTCCGGCCATTCTCATGGATGTGTTCGCGCCGCTTCCCATCCTCTTCACGAGATAACCCAAGATGTTCACCCGAGTCTACATGGTTATCCGCACCGCCAACAGGAGTGAAAACATAGTACCAGGCTTTGTCGTCCAGTCTTGGCGATTCCAGAATCTACAGGAGCGTGCGTTCTTTGCCGATGAGAGAGTCAACTGGCATTGTGTGGCCAATCCTTTCTACAATGGTGTACATGCTTCCATGGCTATGATCATAGCTAAAGTAATCCGTGACGACGAGACAACAGTCAGGATAGCCAGCCAACCAAGGGAGCAGCGTGAGGAGGCGGAGCAGGATCTGCGCGCTCTATTAGCAACAGAATTACAGCAGCTTATGTTGCGTGGTAACATCCGATTGGACTTCACAGTTGGTATGCTGCAACCTGGAGATGATGGGCCTA